AATCAAAGTGGGGGGAAATAAGAGAGGATACAAGGAGCTTGCGGAATTATTATTGAATTATTTTAAATGGATAAGTAAATTTTCGGGAAATTTCTTAAACACCTCGCTAGGAATCGAACGTAGCTAAGCTCATCGATAGGAACAATTGACTTGTTCTGTTGAATAAAATGTATGACCAAAATAAACGTGAATGAAATTACTGGACAAACAGATAGTTTTGATGTTTATTCAGAAGAAAATAAGAATGGATTAGATGCGTTACGATGGATATGGACGATTATTTTTTTAGAGAATAAAACAAGAAATGTGAGGGTTGAGATGTAAGGGTGAAGATGTAACATTAAGAAAAATATCTAGAAGTCAATCTTCAGGAAGCTTTAAAACGAATTTTCTATAGAAGAAATAAGGAAATGAAAAGAAGGGGTGGATGAGTCAAAACACGAACATCTTCCACGACAACGGAAATGGGGAACTATGTGGTATAAATGCGTAAAATGAATATCAGACGATAAACGGACTATGTAACATGATCATCATCCGTTTCCAACGAAAGTGAGGAATGGGTAACCCCGAAGACGATAAATACACGTAATGGAAGTATAGTAAGAGCAAGGTAAAAATCTAAAACAGGTAAACAAGTACACATCTGAAACTTTTATAGAACGTTTTTAAAAAGTTCCATGTTGTAGGAAAGAAGTTATTAAAATATTGTTTCCAAGGATCTTTTTTGTAATTAATTTTTTGATTTGCGGAAGAAAATGAACTTTTATTTATTTTAAGTTGTTAGAAAAAAAGGTGAGGTTAAATGAGAAATAAACAGTAACTGGGCTTAGGGTCAAGTTATAATTTATCTTAAAAAAATACTTGATTCTTACAACTCGTTTGCTTGGATAGCTAATAGTATAAGTCGTTTTTAGATTGACTTTTTCGCGAAATAAATTGCTTTAATAGAACTTATAAATACAATTTCGTTTAGTCATGAAATAACAGTTACAATTTATTTTCAAAGCGTTTTAAAAAGCAATCATTGCTCTAGAATTCTTCTAAAATTTTCAATACGAGTCTTGAAGCACATAAAATTCATTTTAGCAAGGTTAAGTCCTTCAGTCAGTATTTTATTAATCGCAACATTTCGATCCATGACGAATCTTTGACAATACTAGACTAAGTTCCGAATATCTCAGGATGAGTTATATAAACTTGAAATTTTTTTTGTTGTGAAAAATGGTTAAAACCTATTAGCGCGCGACAAAATACAAGACGGTAAATGAATTTCTGATTGCCTCTCGGTACGCTCTTCAGTATGACGTCATCAATTCACACACAAAATTGGTCAATTTTAATCGCTTATTGAACTCCCTCCTCAAGACAAAACTCAAGAATTCTTTTTGCAATCTCTGATTGCATATTTTCTCAATTAAATAATATAAATGATTGCTCTTTACCAATCATAGAAGAGAAGTTAAGCTATCAGTAATAGAAAACTACATAAAATACGAGATAAGTATCGAGGAGCGAAATTCTATGATTAAAAAAAAAAGTTATGTAATATATTGTATGAATATAAAATAATTATTTTATCGCTCAACTTTATGAATAAAACATCACACAATTTAAAATAAACAAACAAGTAATTTGAATGCTAATTGATTCTAATTTGAATAATTCTCTTATCTCTTATACCTGCTTTTCTATAATTCTTAATATATTTATGTTATAATAAAGATATTGAACACCTAAATAAACAGTTGAAACATGTTAACAGTTTGATGAAACCCTTACAAGATAAGTTGATAATGTATTTCGTAACTACTGCGCCACTGATAAAAGGGACTCGAGATTGACCTTATATATTGCTTTGTAATTGTTAAGAAAATATTTATAACGATACTAAGAAAAGATACAGGTAAGGATTCGGTTATCATTTTTGTTTATTCCTTATTTTTTGAGTGTCTTTTCGACATCGATATATTGTGACCTGGTTCCTTCAGTTGTTTTTTATTTTATAACATTTAGCAGAAAAATATAATTTGGTAAGCAGACTAAATTGTTTAATTATTATTTTATTAATTCCGACATATCTTAAAAATGTAATAACTTATATGAAATGGCATTTAAATCATAATTATCTAAGAGTAAAGATCTTATAAATCTGCAAAGAAAACGAACTTATAATTCGCATTTTTAGGGAATTTTCAAACATATTCATAGATTACCCTAACAACTTTTTTTTTATATTAAAAACTATATTTAGTTAATATAGGTTTTCAAAATTAATTTAAACTATTGTACACTAGACTATCTGTTCCCATTTCAATTATTATAATGAAAGACGTTTTCAACTAATTAAAAAAAAAAGAGAATTTTATCCTCCACATTCTTCAATCATACTTATTTATTTAGTTATTTTATTATTTATATATAAAAAATCTCCTTATAGATAAAATAATAAATTATTTTTATTGAGTTAAAAGTCTCACTGAGTATATCTGATAGTATTAAAAATCAATTTATAAAAGCATAACAAATTAAATCAAATAAAAAAAATATGACTTGTATAGGCCAGTCTCTGTTTAGATAAAATAAGATAAGCTCGCAGGTGTCACTGAAGTTCAAGTGCGGAATATCAAAAAGTACGAGTACAATAAAATGATTTTTATTAGTATATATACATTTATTACTTATTCGGTACAACAAATAACATAAGAAAACTTAAAATACCGTTAAAATTCCATTTGTGTTAGTAATTAAAAATATAGGAAAACTTCATTACTCTAGTAAATATGGAAAATATTGCCACCCTAAAAATAAATACTGCATAGTATTTATAAAGTTTTGGAATGAAAGTAGTCGAATTAAAGTTGGAATTAAAATGTATGTAGAACTCAATAGAAACTTTTTATTTTACAGGCACACATGAAACAAATCCTAGGTCGTTAGAATATATTTTTTTACATCCATTTTTGAAGAGTTCATTTTATTAAATGGCTAAAATAAACATTTATTAATAAGTTAATTTGAATTTTAAAGCAACAAGGTACACCGACATAGGGAACTGATAAGAATAGATGTCAAACATTTATTTTATCGATGTGCAACTTTTTCAAGGGTATTATTTATTTGATTTTTTTTTTGTGGAAAATATTAGAATTTGGAGTCAATCCATTTTGTTGGTAGATCAAAATATTTCAAATGTTTAATACAATGCTGCAATAAATCTTCTTTTTTTTTTTTACTTAACAAAAAAATTATATAACTCTTTGTATGATTATTGATTGTAAAAACCTTACAAATAGAGAATAAATTACATTTAAAAATATATAGATTTAGCTATCGGATGCTGGATTAGTTAATATTTATTTCTTTGAGGTACTGTGAAAATAAATATTGAAAGAGCCAACATATAGTTGTATACACCAATAATAAATTTCAAGTAACTTCCATCACATCGTACTTGTTAATATTTATACATTATATATATAGATGGTAAGCAATGAAAACCTTGTAACTCCATCAGCCTATTCAAACCTTGGAACTTAGTCTTTATATATAAGGGGATGTAGTATATAATCAAATCTATAGGAACTAAATGTGTACCATTTTATATATATCTTTCAAACATTTATTTATTTCTCTGGTAAAGTTTACCAAGAAGCTGCTATAAGGTTTTTAATGAAGAAAAAAAAAAGAAAAAAAAATGCTGTCCAAATATTGTGTAAACAAAATGTATTCTCAATACTACATGGTGAGAAAACAAATCTCCACAGAAGTTATGTATTTATTGTAATGTATGTGCCAAAAAAAAAAAAAAAAAAACAAGGACTAGACTTCTCACGATTAAAAATTCCGATTGTAAAACTGAATATTAAGTATAATAAGGATAACTCATGACAAGTTCAGTTTGTAATAATATTCAGTTAAAAAATGATATAATATTCAAAGCCACAAAAATACTGAAAATAAAATCATGTGAACTTTCTGTCAACATGAAGAACATCTATGACGTTGTTTTTAGTTTTATTTTTTTAAATAATCTTCCCAAATAACTTTATTTAAATATAGAAAACGGATTGTGCCAATTCTAGTCTCTACGTAATACAGTAAAATTAACGGGACACATGCTCCCTAAGAAAATATTACTAAAATTAAATTGGATGTATTTGGACTCTGCCCTTACAGAAATAGACGCGTTTCTGGGTATTAAAAAGAAGGCCCCTGCCAAAAGGGACTATTTTTAAACGATATTAATAAGATCCCGTGTAGAAGTCAAACAGGACACTTATAGAGAACACTTAATAAACAAGTCTTTAAAGAAAAGTCAAAATATAAAATAAAAAAAAAATAAAAAAATTCAAATTAAAAACATGAAAAGCAAAATCTATAAAGAAAGGGAGAGAGAGAAAAAAGATCACCTTGTGGCAATAGAAAACATGAAATGCGAGGTTGCTATTTTTAGCCACAACTGCCATGATGAAATATAGACCGGAGAGAATATAGCAACGGTATGTGCTCTTTCCCAACCATCATAGCCAACCCTACTCAACCCACATACACAACATGTATTCCTTACATGCATGAGCCATGCATTAAAATGTCAACATGAACAAACCATTTCTTTGGTATGGGTTCGTACTATTTAACAAGGGATGTCTTCGCAGCTCAAAGCCTTGTGATATCAACATGTTTCAATACAGCTCAATGACATTTCAACCTTATCATAGATCGTGTACCAACATAAACACAACGATTGTATTATCAGCTTTGGGACAGAGGAAAAATCGTATCACACTCAACGAAATGAGTGTGACAAAGGTACACTTGTTTTTCTGTTATATATTTTTTTCAATTTTTCTTCTTAATAGGTAATAAGCGAGACACTTTGGAAAATACGAACTTTTAATTAAAAATTTCTTATTGAATAGCAATCAGACTACACGATGGTACGAGTTGTAATCTATAATGTTATATATAATCATGTATAATATGTATATTATACTCACTGGATATTATGGCACTGAAGAGATCTGGTTGCTGGAGAGCATATCCACCGGCTGATATATAGGATACCATATAGGCCGCTGAACACAACAATATATGTATATATATATATGTGTGTGTATATAGAGGCACTGCACTGACTAGCGGCACACGACTAGGACTGAAGACACATGCGCACTACCACGGCACTACACAATTAGCACCCCCCACTCCGCTTATCCTTAACTGATTACCACTCTCCCCCCCTCACACTCTCTCAACCACACACTCTATCTCTCTCTCTCTCTCTTACACTGTATCACCCCCTCCACTCTCTCTATCACTCCCTCTCTCGCCACCGTACGAGGTCGCACACGCGATCTGATTTTTTTTTTTGCAACGCACAGCGAGCCTCTAGTGTTTACTCGAGAAGTCATTGATATTTCTGTTCCACACAAGTATCATACGGTCACGAAACGTCTTATCCAGAAACACAATGCCATTACGTCTGTCACTGAATTATATCAAATGTTAAATAATAGCATGCTCTGAAATCTTATGTAAAATAGAGTTTCCATTAAACACTCAAGTTAAAAATTAATATCTAATCGACTCAAAATTATATATGATTCATGAAATTCCGCGAAGAGATACAATACACTATCAGTCGAGTTGCTCAATCTACTGATAACTTGAGAAACATAATTATTCTTTATAAATAATATTGAGCTCATGAAAACATCATACCTAATATAAATCCTTTATCTTAATATATTTGCTACGCTCTCAGAAAATGCCAGCCCAAATACAACTTTACAAAAACTAAAAATTGTAATAAAAATAATTAAAAAACAAACAAATCTGGATTACTTTTTGATCTTTCCAATTAAATTTTGGTTGCCTGTCATAAAATAATATATTAATTTGATAAAATAAAAAAAAAATTGTGGGTTGATGGTTGACTGTCGTGAATAATGAAGAGAAGGGTGGTTGGGGTGATCAGTCAGAAATAAAATAGCAAAAATAAATAATAATATTTATTTTAACATTAATTTATTATAACGTTTCGAGCCGAAGTTCAGGATTTTAATTATTATAAAAAATAATTTAATGTTTTAGGATGCACCACATATCTAGTTTATTGCTACGTCCGCAAACGTACTTTAAATAACATTTAAAAATCAACAGTTAACTGATCTCATTTAATAACAAGGGGAGGGAAGCAATTAATGGAGTTGATAATAAAAATAATTTGATTTTTTTCTTGTTAATAACAGGCTTAATATTTATCTATGTCACTGAGACAACTAAGAGGGATGCTTTAGAACCTACTGAGATGATCGAAATAAAACATTTTTTAAAATTCAAATAAAATTATTTGATACATAGAATCTCCCAGAAAGTAACCAATATATTATTTTTAACTGCTATTTCCTAAAATCCATTATTAGAAGTCATTCAGATTGAAAAATAACCGTAATAAACCAACATAGTCCGTAATTGCTTTATGGAACTGATTTAACTAAGAATATCAGCAACTTAAATAAATAACAGGTACAAGGCCATTTAAGAATCATCCAGTCTTACTGTTTTATGATGAATATTTTTTTTCACTAAAATAGTCACTAATAATGTATTGCAGGAAATAATAGTTAAAAGTAACTGATTGGTGACTACCAGAGAAACTTGTTAATAAATACATATCAAATAATTTAATTATAATTTTAAAAACGTATTTTCTTTTTAGCATCCGAGTTGAGGGTCTCAGACCCGCTTAGCTATGCCATTGAACATGAATTTTTAATATTATTAGTAATAAAAGTAATGAACAAGTAGTTATTTAGATTGTCATAATTATTTGTTGCTCCCCCTTGTTATTAAACTAAATTAGATAATATATTTTCCATTATTTCTGAGTAACAAATTTCGAGAAATAATTTTGTACAATTAGAGTAAACTGGTAGGAAGAAAAAAATTTAAACACAACTTGAATCGGAATAAAAATAATCCTGAATTTGATCTCCGAAATCGTGTAAGATAATTTCAGTTGTAACACATGTACTCTGATAATTGGAAACAATGAAGGCAGACATAATGTTAATTCGAACCTTCAAACCACAAATTGCTACAAGAACAGAATAGTATAATAGAACAAGACAGGATAATCGACAGGTTGCAAACGCGTTTTCGCCCAAATGCGACCTCATACATATGGAAACTACATATGCTTGCCATTCTCCGAGGGGGTCCCGATCAGCATACTGCGTTTTGTATAAAAGTTTTTTTTTTTTTAATTTAATATTCGGTCATAATATGGGCACTAGTGAGGTTGTAATGAGGTAAGGGTACATTCTCACCATAATTACAGAAAATATAAATAAATGTAATAAAACAGAAGCAAAAGAAATTAATAATAATAAAAATTTGTAAAACTAAAACTCGTAATAAAAGTATTTTTAAAAAATCAATAATTATCTTTTAATCATTCTTATTAAATTTTGATTCTAATTCTAACCGAAGGAAAACAGAACCAACAAAAATCCGAATGAATAGGTAGGAAAAATTATAGTAAATCTCTGGACATAGGATTCTTCAAATATTACTTTCATCTTACTCTAGCCAATAGAACAGGTGATTTTTTTTCTCGATCTGATGTATCAAAAGTTACTGTTTCAAGAAATTAATGAGACTTTTAGAGTCAGATAGTCATCAGTAAATTCAAAAAGTTTGAGTTCGGTAAATGAACAACATTTCGACATTTAAAACTTATTTCTTCTTAATTTGAAGATTTTTGTTTTTTTTATTTATTTAATAAAATTTACACCTGTATAAACAATACAACTAGTAAAAATACACACATTAGAAATAATGACATGAACAGACTAGAAGAGATACTGCCCAGTGGAAGCACTCCCTATTTAATTCTAGGTGAGATGATCACGAGGCCATCTTCTGTTCAGATGCCTAGGGGAATTATCAGAAATCGAAGTGTGGAAACAAGTGGATTCGAATGGGACTGGATTTATCATTAAAGGATAGGTATATGGCTCGAGATATTGTCACAAAATATGGGGTATTAAGGATTTTACTAAGGATTTTCGACTGTAAAGATTGGATACGATAGGAATTCCATGGTTTGGTAGAACTCCAAAGCTCAACTTCGTATGTCCATATAGGTCTTATTATGGTTAAGTAGATGAGTCTTTTGTAATTAATTGAAAGTTTGGAGCGTTTGTCTAGTAAGTGTTAGTTCAGTTTCGGAAGGTCGAGCAGTTTCTTGCCGTTTCAGTCTAGTATGCGGATTCCAAGTGAGACGTTTATTATCAACGTTGGAGTCCTAGGTAGCGGATTTGTTCAACAGGAACAAGTGGAATATCATTAAAGGATATTGTAGGACAAGAAATTATAGGTTTACGACGAAGGGAAAAGGAAATTTGATGGGATTTATTGGAATTTATTTTTATTCTGAAGTCATGACACCATTCCTCAAATTTGAAATTATTTAAACAAATTGTTAAATATTTCTTGATGAAGATAAAGTTTATTAGAATATTATTTTTGAAACGAAACCTGTTGATGAGAAATGACAATTCATAATAACCTACGTACAGTGTTTGATACTTTCTGAGATGCACAGACTTTCCTTTTACGAGGGGCGAATTGGGGAGGGAAGAGACGAAGAACAAAAAAAAAAAAAAAAAGGACAGTACTTCTTATTATATGTAAAAATTCAATATAATTATTGTGAAACGACCAAATATAGTATTGAATATTTAAAAATAAATTTATACATTTGTTTGAAAGTGTAGAGTTTTTTTTATTTGCTGATTAAATGGAAGGAAGGGGGGCAGTTTTGATGATATAGATACATTTTTAGAACTTTTCCGACTAAAAATGAATAATGTTAAAAAATAGAAAAATATGTTTGATTACTTAGTTTGCAGAACCTTAAAATAAAAATACAATGTTTTCATAGTCTGACTAGTTATGAAACTATGCCTATAAAAATATTCTATAATCACATAAAATATATTTTGTCCAAATTTATAGTAGATATATATATATATATATATATATATATATATATATATATATATATATATATATATATATATATATATATACATATATATCCATCTCTGAATATAAATGAAAATTTAAACAATAGGAATATTAAATTGGGGTGATACAATAGTTACATACCTACTTACAGGTCTTATCCTAGATACTAGTCGAATTTTCTTAATCGATTTTAGTTAACATATTATATTCATTCATGTATGTTATTTGCTATAGATTTTTTATTATTTCAAATTATTGGGGAAGGAAGCGATCACCCCTCCCCCCATAGTCTGCGCCTATGCTCTCTGAGACGACGGACCCATATGAGGCAATTTTATTTATTTATTATTATTGTCGAAAAAGAGATAAAACTAATTATTTAAAATAGATTGAAGGATTTCTGAAGTTAATTTACAGACGAGTTGAGGAAAGGAAATAATGATGCAAAGCATACCGTTTGACAGAACGTTAATACCTGAAAGGGAAATATAATTGGTAACAAAATCTTCTGTTCTAGACAGGTACCCACAGTTAGATATCAGTAGTAATGCCCGACTAATATTAAGGGAGTGGCGAAGACGACAGATTAATTTATTTAAATTTAAAAAATATTATTGTCGATATGAACTTGTTTAGCGAATCTATGACGTCATATCGAAGATATATTCTTATCTCTGTAAGCGGGATAATTTAGGATTTTCTTAAATTCCCTAGGAATTGATTCCTAATTACCATTTAAAAAAGGAGGGTGTGTAAGGTCAATATTTTTGTTACTGATTAGTTATTAAAGAAGAAATAGTAATAATAGGCCCAGACTTTCCATTCTGAGGGAGGAAGGGGGGAGAGCGATGGATGTTGAGAGGGGATGATGGATCCCTCAAAGAGTCGGAAGTTTATTTCATGTATGAAAATTATGAATTATTAAGGATATTATCAACATAATAATTGTAAAACAAACATCGTAATAATAAATTATATGTTTAATATAAACTAAACAAAATAATTAACTTATTAATATTTATTGATCTAGCGCAAGAAATAAATAAATATTTAATTATTAAGGTTAAAAAAAAATTGAAAATTAATAGAATTAGGTTGAATGTATATAATATGTATATGGGTGGGTGTATTAAATGATATTATCACTGCCTAACCTTACTGTGGCCTCAAATGATAAATAGGTTATCCCCACCTATGGTATAGTGCATCTTTATTTTATGCATAAATATTCTTCAAAAAGTTCAATAGGTTGCAGTACTGAACCTCATACCTCGTTGTAAACGTTATTTCAGGATCAATAAACTTAATTAGCATATTATATTATATATTAATAATAATGTAACATATCATATTATATAAAAAGTAGAGGTATGAGCCATAGGTGAAGAACCGTTTTATCATTAGAGGCCGCAATTGTTTTTCAGGTTTTACTATTGCTAATTTTATTTTTAAGTAAATAAGTAAATACACCCATGTATGTATATATATATATATATATATATATATATATATATATATATATATATATCGCTACTGTTAGTGTAAAAGGTCGTATGTAACAATTTTCCATGCTTGTGTTAGTTCATGCATTTTGTGGTGATACCACTGATATCAATGGTATGCTAATATGGGAAATAATATAGGAAAATAAAATATGAAATTATACTGATAGATAATAAAGATGTAATAAGTTTTTATGCTTTCCTGTGAAACTCAATATTTACATACGTCCATTTGCTTCAACAATATACTCAACATAGCGATATATCCAAGTAGTTCTATTAATTAAAAAAACATTCGTGACCTAAATAACTAAATATTAATTAATTCTAGCGTAATAATAATGAATATCGCGAAAAAATAAAGGGAGGCCACATGCGGCCTCGAGGACGCAGGTTCACCACCTTTGGTATATACCAATTTGAATATGTTACTAAAGACAAAAAGTACACTTTAAATAATTAAAAAAGTATATTGTTTCCGATAAACCTAATTAAAATGAAAAATAAAATAAAATAAAATTCATTTTTAATCAAAAGTTTTGTGTTGGTAAATTAATTTAAAAAAAAAAAACCGTGAATAGAAAATTTTTAATACTGTCTTAGTAAAGGGCAGATATAGGGTGTTAAAAATTCAACAAACTTGTTAAATTTCATTCATTCAAAATTGATGTGAAAAACTTTTTCATCACTTGCGACCAATCTAGTCAAATTAAATTAAATTGTAATAAAATAATATTTTACAATTAATGAAGAATAATATCAAAATAAATAATGAGATGACTGACATAGAAATGAGGCATGAACCTCATTTGAGGAAAGCAGGTCATTAATTAAATATTTCTTTCACAATGTCCTATATCTGATAAAACGTAAAGAATGATTGTGTTGCAAAATAAAATTATATATATATATATATATATATATATATATATATATATATATATATATATATATATATATATATATATATATATATACATATTTATTCCCAACCGACAATCATAGACCTTAAAATATAGGCAGTTAGTTATATTACAAAGTATCAGTTATTTACTTCAATCCCCGCGATGCAAATAATTCTACACGATATATTTATGACTTTAAAATATGCAGGATTTAATTCACTTTATTAATTGCATCTATACCATAAAATAATTTCTGACACCATCGTATATTTCAAAACTTATACGTGAATATACGAAATTTCATTTATAAATAGTCTATGAATATATATAAATCTACACATGGCACAAGACTTTAAAATTCATACAGTTCACGTATAATTAACAAAACATACACACCTGAATATCATATTTTGGATAATGCATAAATAACTTTTATTGGTGAAAAACTAATGATTAATTCATTCGTGATTCATAAGGTTTTATTAAATAACATATCCAGTATAAATTTTTTAAAAGCGAATAAATATGTATTTTGATAAATTCATTTAGGAAAAATTATTTTACAAATTAATTCTTATTGTTAATTAAATTTCAACCAGTGGCAGAGAAGCGCAGAGATCTGAGGTTCTGCATTTCCGTCAATAGTTTTTGAACAAGCTTGGTTCTGAGGTCTCTCCTCGCCTGATTATAAATAGTGTATGTAGGTATATGCCTGTATTATTTTACTTTACTCATGTTTGTGTTTATTTTATTGTTATTTATTTATATTTTTTGTAAATATGGAGTGAATGCACTCTCTTCTCACTTTAACGATTGTACATATTGTTTTATAATGTTACATTACTCAATAAAATAATTAAAAAAAAAATAATAAACTTCAAATACATTATGTTTCATGATATAAAATAATATGTATAAGTATTTATATAATTTTTATTTCGTCAGAATAAAATATACAATATATTTATTTAATAATATAAATAAATATTAGATGGCTACATGATGATATGAGTGGCGCTCACCCACCCACCTGAACTTTCAACGAGTCGAAGATAAACGTTGATGTAGAATCAGTATACGTGGTGATTATTTTAGGCTCTGCGTTGAGGCCTGAATGAAAAAATTCCATTTGAGATTTTGACAATCCAGAAAATTGTAATAACAAAATTATTTAATATTTATTAAAAAAAAAAAAAAGAAATATGCCACTGAATTAGTTAAAATAGACACGTGGAAAAGATAATATTAGCACTCCAAAAGCAAATCATGAGCTTCCATAATGACATCATAGGCCGAAGTCGAAGGTTATATAACAATTTAAAGGCACATCCATCGTATATTGAAACAATTGAACAATCACCAACCGATATATTTTAAACATTGATTGCCTTTAGAGTGCTCATGCTATTTCTAGAAGTGTTAAATCATCCATATCACTCGCCGCTTACGTAACACCACCAATTCACACAAGCGAAGAAAACAAAATTGCCAACAACGCTGCTACGGTTTCGCAACCTTCTATCGTGACGCGATATTAAGGTATTTAATAGGTAGATATCACAATTGTGTTGGGTTTCGTTAGATAATATGAGGAAGAGAGTACAGATGTTCCAGAAAAATAATAAAATAACATTTAAATTTCGAAACTGGCGTTGAGATGTAGCAAGTAACTAAACTGTGTCAAAAGCAAATCATAGTACCTGCAATGCAGAGCGCGTAGATCCTCTGCCAGTAGAGCATCTCCGCGGAGACGTACTCTTCGGGAACTGACCTCACCAGGGGACACATGGTGCTGACTACCAAAGGGGGGTACAACACAGGTACGCTGAGGTACTACTCTAGTGAGGTACTGTGTTGGACAGAGGGATATGTGCAAAGGGGAGTAGAGGGGGTGATAAACTCGATCAGCTGGCCTCTTATCAACGCATTCTGCTGATATCTCGGTTGTAGTCATTCTCAACAGTAGCAATTATTACATATCTAACATTTATAAAATTTAAAGAGATCTCCAACAGCCCAAAGCCTTACTTCTTCATTGATATGATTAAATGAGTTTAACCTAAAAACAAAAATCTTGATAAGTACAAGCTATGAATGCTCCTGGCAAGGAATTAGCACTTGGCAAAGAAGTACTGTTGGACTAATTTCATCCAAGGATTATGAGAATTGTGTGGCTGGTAGAGGATCTACCATAGGCGCAATGTTTACATTTCGTTTGATGGAAGTTGCGAAGTTTGTGACTATGCTTCCTACTCCACAGATTTGTCGCCAAATTCACAAGCAGTCTGATAATCCTTATAATTAGATATTACCATTCATCATTTATAAATGGTCACAGATCAGAGATATCATACTTTTTTTTTTGTTCGTGCATGGAGAAAGAACTGCCTCTAAAATATTTTGAAATAATTGTAATAAATCCTCCCGCCAAAGAAAAAAAGCTTCATTACTGTATTTGTTAGGGACAATGTATCTCCGCTCCATGACTATTTCTAAAATAAGAGGAACCTTTTTTTTTTTTTTGCAATGTTTGGCCAAGACAAAGCAGAATTGAAGTTATAAAAGATGCGAAATTTTTTATCTGAATAAAAAAATATGTTTTCTACTGACTAAAAAAGAAGTTTGAAAAAGTTTGAAAAGCATTCAATTTCCTAAGACATTAAAATCAAATTAGAACGAGTATTAATAGAGATATACCGTTTTAAATTTTGCACTCACTTCTTTAAATGGATTTAAATGATTTTCTGTTATTGTGCAAACAATTCACAATAGAGGGAAAAAAAACTATACAGTTTTGATTGAAAACTGGCTATCGAAATTTTGACTTTTAGAAATACAATCTAAAAGGGGTAACCCGATGAAAGAAAAAGTGAAGTAGATCAAAAATTTAAATAGTTCCCCGATTCAAAGGTTTTCTTTATCAATCATAAAAAAATGTATTATTTGATTCACAATGGTAAGTCATTTTAGAATTTTTAAAATGAAGTGAAAATCAAATTTAGATAATTCTTCAAACGTATGACCTCCGTATTTAGTATGCAGAGTATTTAGTATACAGTATACAGTATCCTTTAACAATTTCCCACTTATCACAGTTGAACAAATCCGAGACCTAGGGCACCACCTAGAAAAACGATTCACTTGGAATCCTCAAACGCTCTAAGCTTTCAATAAATTACAAAAGACTCATATATATGAATATAATAAGGCCTATTTAGATGTACGGTATTGAGTCTTGGGGCTCCACTAAACCATCGAATTCCTATAGTATAAAATCTTCCATAACGACCTTAATGTTCCATATGATTCCGATTTGGCCCAATCCATATGCCTATCCTTCCGTAACAAATTTCAATACCATCTGAACCCTCTCGTTTCAAACCTTGCTTCATCATCGATCCCTTATAACTCTCCGAGGCGTCTGAAAAGAAGGTGATCTCGTGATCTTCTTGTGTAAATTTATTATTTGAGTGCTACCAGTGGGTAGTTTCTCTCCAATCGTTTTCATGTTACCATATTCCTGAGTGCACATTTAATAGATTTTTTTTTTTAATACAGTTGTAAATATCATGAATAAAAACAAAATTCTACAAGAAGTTAAGAAGACAATTCTACAAAAAGTTAAGAAGACAATTCTACTTAACAATCACCATTAATTAATAGCAACTTTTAATTGGTTGCAATAAAAAAATGAACTGGGACAGCTGATAGCTGAGTTTATGTAAAATATATGGCCATTTAAGATAATTCCAAAAATCATTATATAAAGTATTTGAAAAAGAACTTACATTAAAGTTTTTTAGTTCATCCTTATCTAAAAGATAAGGGAAGAATGCTCTTGTAATGCAACAGTTCCAATAATGAGATAATTAAAAAAATAAACACCCTGGTATTTAATTATTTATACAAATGAAATAAATAATTATTTCTCATATTTATTTATTCATAATAAATGGCTACGTAATTAGCATATAAAACCCTAATCTTCATTTTAACATTTTTTTTCTTGTTATTTATTTTTCCTGTATGCATGAGTCACATGTAGCACTAGTGCTTGTTGCACTTATGTGTGGCAGTACGTATTACAGGCTTATTTCGTAAGCTCCATTAAGCTATAAAGCTATTAATAATCAAATTATTTGAATAGAGAACATTGCAGAGATTATTGTAAATAAGATAATGCATCTCCATTATCATGTAAATCATCTGACATTATCATTTATTTATTTTTTATAAGAATTTAGTTATTATTGCATTTACTTAATTTAAGATCATCACATCTTAACTTCCCTAATTCTTTTGATACATAAATTCAATTGGATTGTAGGTATATGAGAAGCGAAGTTTTGGTGGACATGAGCAGCATTAATTTTGTTAACTGATATGTTTAGTGTTGCCCAAAATCGGCCACGATCTTTGAAAGACCAACATCAAGAGTGGTAAAAAATAGATTTTTACCATTACTGAATACAGATTAAGCAAAATAGTTACTGATACTTGACAATTTTAGTAACTATGTGAAAAGCATTGGTATTACCAATATACTTTTGCATTTAACTCTTTTAATTTTTCATTCGGGCTTAGTTAGGTTTCTTCTATCTAAAAAATTACAGTAATACCTCTATAGTAATTAGCAAATGGATAACCGCAAGAGTGTTGCAAGGCTCTTGCGCACGGCCAAGACCAAGAAAAAGACTGAGTGCGGAAGACCAAGATTAGTCTTAGTCTCGCATTTGGGCAACACTTGATATGTTAAGCCTAAAGACATAAGGATCTACGTTTTCAGGTTTGTTAGCTCAGTGAGTAGGGCACTGACCTCCTATACTGAAGGTCAAGTGTTCGAGTCCGGCTGTGTGAGATAATTAATTATTTCGTTACAACATAGTTCTGTTACACTGGGGTAACCAGCCTCTGTAAAGCGGGTACCCTTAATTAAATAATTAAGAGAAAAACTAGGCGGTATTTCCTTAAATAGTACTGAATCCAAGACTCTTAATGGGTTGCAGTGGTACAAATTTATTTATTTAAAAATTGTTTTGGTTCTACCGAATACGAAAAACTTTCGTTAGAAGCTTAGATAGTTGTTAAGCGTTGATGAGATAAAATAAATTCAAAGTCATAAGGAGTCTTGTCATAATTATCAAATCATGACTGGAATAAATAAAAAAAAAAATAGTTACAAAATTAAATTTGAGGAGTACTTATATACTGCTGACATTTATAAATAGAGTTTTTATTTATTTTATTTTTTTTTAATGAAAGAGATAGGAACTATTCCCTAGAAAAAACAAAACATGTAATTTAAGTTAAAACATTCAAGATAGAAAGCAAACATAATTATCAGCATGTGATACGTGGTTTTCTAAAATAAACCAATGACAAACAATCGATCTATCAGAAGATTATCTGAAAGAGGAGGCGCGGGCAAAGTCTAAGAGACGCGGCGGAGGAACGCAAGATCACAAGGAAGCCACAGCCAACACTATCGTTGTTCCATGTGTTCTCACTCAACAGCCATCTAGATTAGGCCCTAGTACACTGATTGGGCTATCAGCTCCCTCTTGTGTCATCCTCATATCAGGATCCAAGAATTACCCGAGCTCACTTCCTCAATCTCTATTATTTCATAAGAAAATATAAGACGAGGAGTTTGTATGATAATGCATTATAAAATGGTATCAATGTAAATATTCTAATTTATTTATTCATTTAAAAATAACGATAAGTGAAAGTGCTTGTAATTAATGTAATAATAGCCATCAACTTCTTTTCATTCGCCTCAGAAGACCAGATCAGATGCGGAGGAACAGGCTTAATTGTGTAAGTTTGGATTTTATGATAAATGTTAAGAATTTTTGATTAAAAGGATTAAAATCCCTGTCTGCCGCTAGTGAAGACTAAGCAGCGCATTCCATCAACAGAGAAAGGTGGAAAATTATTAAAGAATCCCATATGACAGGATGTCGAAAGTAACGATAAATATTCAATTTGATGAAATTTTTAAGTTGTTTTAATGCTTAGTTTTTGAGACGATTTTCCAAGAATTTGTATCATAGAATGAAGAGAGTGATGAAATAAAAAATTGTACATAAATATATGTAAATCGATAATAATTTAAATTAAAAAAAAAATCAATACATCAGCGGGGAAAAAAACAACTGAGGTGTTTTCTTTAGACCACAGGCTGATGTGAAAACATCAACAAGGCGATATTAATAATATAAATTATAAAAAATAGCTCATTATAAAGAGGATGGATGGAATGCTAAACATTTCCCTCGCTTAAAGTATGTAAGTCCGATTATTAGTTTCTGAGATATTTTAATCATTATCTTCCATAAAAATCATTATTTGGTTTTCGCAACTATTTTTTCCTTTTCACCTCTCTAACACGGCGTCACGTTAAGATAAAATTATGAATAATAGTCCATTACAGAGTGGATGAAACGCTGAACAATTTTCTCGCATATAGTATGCAGGTCCGATTTTTAGTTTTTGATTTTAATTCATATGCAAAAACACTTCAATAAGTCGATTCCAACCGACTTTACCCGAGCGTTATACATCGGAAATCTGACGGCTCAATCTAATTCACTTTTCATAAAGAAGTGGAAAACGCGCCTAAAGAACTTTTCACTTAAAAAAAAATGTAAGCCTGAAAAATACTAGTAAACAACGAACCAGTCGCCTTTGGGCCCCTTAAGACATTGAAAGGATAGAAAAAGAGAAGATAGCATTTTAAAAAATGCTAAAAAAAAGGACATCTTGCCTCAATATTAAAAAAAATCTATGGTAAGGCCCAAGGAACAATGATCTATTAATTAAGAAAAGTAAGTGTATTGAAAAGATGAGTATTAAAAGGAAATCTCATCCGTGCACTGTTATTTCCTTGCAGTTAATTGAGATTAGGTGAGAGCCAGTATTTTAAAATATATCCACATATTAATAAGTTTA